TAAAAAAAAAAACCAAGAGCATTCTACAATCTACAAAAACAAACATTGCATGTATAACACAGATGGTTAAGTCTTCTAAGTTCATGTCAATATATATCTAAGGCCAACTTATATGACAGAGCATTACCAAAGATGGCAAGATTGGTTTTAAAATAAAAGATGGCAAGATTGGCAAAGAAAATCTCTCAAAAGTTATGTGAGGGCTGGGAATTAGTGGTAGAGTGCTTGTCTAGCCTGCATGAAGCCTTGGGTTCAATTCCTCTGGACCACAGAAACAGAAAAGCTGGAAGGGACACTATGGCTCAAGTGGTAGAGTGCTAACCTTGAGCAAAAGAAGCTCAGGGACAGTGCCCAGGCCTAGAGTTCAAGTCCCAGGACTGGCAAAACAAACAACAGTAACAACAACAAAAAAAGTTACGTGAGCTGTGCATCTGTGGCTCACACCTGTCATCCTAGCTGTTCAGGAGACTGAGATTGTAGGACTGCAGTTCACAGCCAGCCTGGGAAGGAAAGATGTGAGACTCTGATCTCCAAAAAACTACTCAGAAAAAGCTGGAAGTAGCAATGTGACTCAAGTAGTAGAGTGCTAGCCTTGAGCAAAAGCAGCTCAGGGACAGTGTTCAGGACCTGAGTTTAAGCCCCAGGATTGTCAAAAAAAAAAAAAAACGTTATGTGACTCAAAGCATTCAACAAAGGGACACAGGAAATGTTTCACTGAGAAAGCTCAGCAATGGAGTGGTCCATGCAAAGGGCATTCCATAGAGAATATGAGCAAGGACCACACTAAAGTAAAGGCTAAGGAGCCTATTAAGGCCACAGGGCTCAGTGAAGACGGAGGGCAGTAAGTAAACTGTGGAGTCAAATCACAAGGCCCGGACTTTTAGATTATGTACATTAGTTTTACGAACGAGCTTAAAAGACATAGATATCAAAATATCCAGTTCTGATATTTTGGTTTAAAGAGAAAAATATTCTTCACCTAAATTTAAACATTTTACAATACTTAAGAAGATGCTAATTCTATAATATTATTCTAATTTGATTAACAGCAAAAACAATCTCCATTAAGACAGTCCATGAATCTGTTATTATTCATAGAATATCTCAATTTTAATCACTAAAATAAGCAAAATTAAGAAATAAAAAATGTTTTTTTTTTCTAATTTTGGACAATATTCCTCAACTATATAATTTATAACTTATTTCTACTTTTTTCTTTTGTGCTGGTCCTGAGGCTTAAATTCAGGTTTGGGCACTGTACCTGAGCTTTTTTGCTCAAGACTGACACTCTACCACTTGCATCACAGTACCACTTCCTGCTTTTTTGGTGTTTAATGGGAGATAAGGGCCTCACAGATTTTCCTGTCTAGATTGGCTCTGTCTGAACTGCAATCCTCACATATCGGCCTACTGAGTAGCTAGGAACACAGGTGTGGGCCATTGCACCTGGCTGTTTATTTTTCAAAATCATATTGCTAAGAAAGAGAAACTGCATCATTGAGCTAACCCAAGAACTTCCTCAGTTTTGAAAACTCTACCTGCTACCAGAAACTGTGATCCAGCAAACTCTAGGCAATATTCTCACATTTCTGAGTATGAGATTAAAGCTGGAAAAATAGTAACAGATTTCAAATCCCTTCCAAATGTTTCTAAAACTGAAGCTTATATTTTAAAGCCTTTTTTTAAATTGCCATATTGGTGACTGAAACTGGAACCTTGCATGAGCTCTGCACCAAGCTATATATCCAGCCATTTTCATTGTTATTTACTATTTTACTTTGACACAGAGTCTAGCTGTCCAGGCTGACTGAACTCCTACCAAGTCAGCTTCCCCAGTAGCTAAGGTTACAGGTATCTATTTAAGTCATCTTAAAACCAAGGAGGCATTTGAAAAGTTGTATCTATTCACTGTTCAGAAAACAGAAGGAAAATAAAGCAAAAGATTTTTTAGCACTGTCTCATTTTAAAATTACCTTTTATGAGTTTATGAACAGTACATTCTAGATAATGAAACACTGTATCTTCTAGATACAGAAACTCCTTGTTATGGGAATTTAAGTAGGAAACAGCAGAAAAACTCATAAAACATAAGGTGAGAACCTGATACCAATTTGGCCACTGTCTTTTATATTTCCAGTTTAAGCTTCACAGCCCACCTCTAAAATAAGTCAAATCACATGAGTCCTAAAATTTTACATCATGAAACACGTTTTCAATAACAGATCTGTAGTGTGGCTAATCACTCTGGGAAGCAATGAGTGCAGGAGAATAAAAAACGTTAGAACAACACTAATGCACTCAACTTGTAGTAGTTGATAAAAAGGTTCAACATTGATCTTTGCAAAATGTTGACAGGATTAGAATGTATGCAAAGTACCTGATCCTGTAGGCACCAAAACATCCCCCAAGTAACACAAGTTCTAATGGAAAAAGTAACCTACTTAATCCTGCAGTTTCCCAGAACTTGATTGGATAGAGCAGGGACTGCCTTCCAGTGTGATCCAAATGGAAAGCAGGTGAACAGTACTTTGGAGAGGATTCAAGGGAGGGAGATAAAAGCAGAGGTTTTGAATCCTGTCTGTAATAACAATAGAAAGTTTAATAACTGCATGGGATACAGTGTGGGAGGAAAATACTTTTTCCTTTCATTAAAGGCATCCCTGCAACTATGTCTTAACCAAAATAAAGCAGAAAATGGTTAGTCTATGAATGCTTCCAAAGGAAAACATGGTTCTGGAATATGCAAATCATCTTTCCTTAACCAGTCTGCAATTCCCACTTGGGACTCAGATGGTGAAGTTCCCACTCTCTCTTATTACTTCTCAGAGCTGTCCTCCACCTCACTCCCTTAGGTTTACTCTGTTCCAACCATACTGGTCTCCCTTCCTTCCTGTAACATGACAAGCTCATTGTTCCTTTAGCTCCTTTGGAGTTTTACTGGAAATTTACAGATCTTCCCAAGGCTGACTCACTCTAAAAATTCAACTCTCACCCAAACCATCACCTCCATGGGAGGCCGACCATAAGTACATTTCCTCACATACCCTAAGCCCCCATCGTGCATCTTATTCCTTATAAACATGATATACTATCTCAAATCATTTTTCAGTTTGCATGTCCATCTCATCTCCACCAACTGCTAAGGTCTTTGAGGTCAGGAAACTGCTCAGTCACCGAATCTCTGAAATACAATGTATGAAATAGACATTCATCAGCTATGCCCACCTTTGGTCCTCAGCCCCACCCAGACCTGCTGGCCCCTCGATCTCCCCACCCAGACCCATCTGAACTCCCATCTACCTCACTTCTGACACTCAGACCATGCTGCTACCTAGATAGCAGAGGTTGGCATGTGCTCTCTCTCCAGGCAAATATGGCTCCTCTAATAAACCTTGTAATAATCTTTCTCCTGTGCCTGCCTGCCTCTGCGTGGTCCCCTGGGATGGCTGTGACTTATCCTTTCAGTAATAATCACCATCATTCTATGAATTTATGTCCTGAGAAGTGGTTTTCATTCAACTTTTTTTCACTGCAATTTTATACACTATCATGCAATCTTAAAAGGCCTATGTGTAAGAAGGCAAGACTTTAAAGAGAATGACCACTTTCTGAAATACGGAACATTCTATCAGTAGGCATACTATTCTATATATTTCATAGTAAACATTTTCACTTCAGGAGATGATAACCCACTGTCTTATTAATCCATAAGTAAGGCAAACTTGCTATGTATTGTTTTGTTTCATCAAATATATATCAATAGAAAATCAATGGGAATTACCTGTGTAGAACCCTTCCAAATCCCACAGTACAACACTGGGCTAACCCAGTGTGTTGGGAAGTTACAACTTGTTATTTTTACTACATTCATTAAAAGTAACAACAGTTTATAATTTACCTGAACCATAACTGAGTCAAGTGCTGAATTCAGCTGATTCTATTAGTGAGGGAGATGAGCAATCATATGAACAACTGCCACCTTAAGAAATGAACAGAAGCTTTGACACACGTGGCTCATGACTGTAATCCTAGCTACTCAGGAGGCTGAGATCTGCTGATCTGTATTCCAAGCCACTCAGGGCAGAAAAGTCATGAGACTCTTATCTACCACTGATCACCCAAACGCTGTGTATCAAGTGGTAGAGAGCCAGCTTTGAGCACAAAAGCTGAGGGACTGGGTGGAGGCCCCAAGCTCCAGTATAAGCACAGACACACAGACACACACAGACACACACACATACACACACACACACACACACACACACACACACACACACACACACACACACACGAGTAAAGTTCCAATGTGAACTCATGCTGAAACAGAGGAAGGGAGAGGGAAGAAAAAGGAGAAAGGGAGAACAGGAACAAGGGGGGAAAAGGAGGAGGGAGTGGGAGGGACAGATTTCATAAAGAAAGATGGTTAAAGTATTGAACTGAGGGAGAGAAAGGGGAAGGAGGTGGGAAGGAAGGGAGGAGGGGAAGAGGAAAGGAGGAAAGGGGGAAAGGGAGATAGGGAAAGGAAGAGGGAGGGAGGAGGGAAGGGAGGGAGGAAAAAGGAAAAGGGGGAGGGAGGGGCAGGCGTGCCACCGATTTCATAAAGAATGGGTGACTAAAGCAGTGAACAGAAACCACAGCCAGACCCTTCATGCCTCAAGCTTTAGCTTTTATTGTTTTGTTTGGACGCCACTCTCCCGGATGAACACGAAAGGCCCGTCCCCCCCAGGTGTCATTCCTGTGCTTTCCAGGCCCCGAGGCCCTGGACGCTGGGGAGGCCGGCCCGAGGCTGGACCCCTCAGGGTGGAGGCTGGGCCCTCCCAGCGCGTCCCCTGCACAGACCCCGCTCCCCTCCACCCCCAAACCGGGGCAAAGGCCCGGGCCCAGGCGCTGGGCGGCTTCTCCTCCTCCTCCTCCTCCCGTGAGTCGGCCCCGCGGGTCACCTGGCCTCAGGGACTCAGTTTTCCAACCGGTCAAATAGGGCGATGAGAAACCCAGCCTACCTCACCGGGTGGTTCCGGGCCGGCGGCCCAGGCGGGCCTGGAGGCTGCGGACCGCTGGGCGAAGGGGCGGGGCTCAGCGGGAGCTGGGACTGGGCCCAGCAGGCCGCGAGCCGCCCGCCGCCCGCAGCCAGCTACCACGGCACCGCCTCCAAGGCCGGCCCGTGACATCAGCACGCTGACGTCTACGCACAGAACTCCGGTCGGAAGACCCGGCTGAGGGCGGAGCAAGCCAAAGAGGAGCCAACCGATTAGTCAAGGAGATATCAGTCACCTGCTGGCCAATAAGCGACGCGAACTGGAGGAGGGGGGTGGGCTGTCTGGAGCTCGGGTGAGAGTTTGCGCTGTCTGCGTGGTGCTTTTGTTGGACGTCTCTTCCAGTGGTGGTCTGTGCTCTGCTTTGTTGCTACCGCCATTGCGGTGGCTCGGGGAAGAGGTCGTAGGGATGGGTTTGGGCGCCCTACGCTGTCTGGTAATGGAAACAGCACCCATCTCTGTCACGCCCCCCGTCTGGAGAGCGGTTATTCAGCTGCCACTGCGTAGCCCACATCGTCTGTCTGTCCTTACAGGCTTGAACAGCATCATTTATTAGGCTTCACCCCCACCCCGAGAGGTGGGACTGTCGTATCTTCTTTTCTTCTCATTTTTGGGCGCAGGGGCAGGGGTTCTAGGCCTGGGGCTTGAATTTGGGGCTGGGGACTGACTGAGAATTTTTGCTCAAGACTACCACTCTGCCGCTTGAACCACAGCTCCACTTCCAGCTTTTTGCTGGTTAATTGGAGATGAGAGTCTCATGGGTTTTCCTGCCCGGGCTGTCTTCTACAGTGATCCTCAGATCTCAACCTCCTGAATACTAGGATTGCATTTATTTATTTATATTTATTTACGATTTTTAAAGATGTGAACGTGTATACAGTGAAAATCATGTGCTGCTGTTTGGTTTTGCTTCTGGCTATTCTTCCACAGTCTTCTGAGTGCTTTTAAAGTTTCAGATTGCACACATAAAATACCCACTCAAACTTTAAAAAAAAAAAAAAAGCATTACAAAGTAGCTAATAACCTTGGCCGATATCAATTACAAACCCAGTTTTATGATGGCTTTGACTTCCTGTGAATTTAGCTGGGTAGAAGTTATTTTTCATTGCGCTGAAGTTGAGATCTTTCTATGCCTACCAAAAAGGCCACCTCCGCTCTAAAAATGCTGTATGAAAGTCGTCAGAACCAATCTATAATTTAGTTCACCATTTTCCTCTCCTTAGATATGTAGTTTGTCTTTTACTATTTTTATTGTATTTATTAATAGAAGCAATGCTTCTTACCTTGGTAACAAAGTGAACTAACTTGTGGCACTACTTCTCATTCCAAGATTTTAAGTATTTACCAGTGATGGAGAAGTTTTTTGCTCAGTCTTTACAATCTTACATACAAATGGCCTCTGCTCTGGATATTTCCACCAAAATTAGTTTACAAATAACATATACTTTTGTGGGCTACTTTTGCTTAATATATTTGCAAGGTTAATTTGTATTAAGTACTGTAATAATACTTTATTCACTTTTTTCCTTTTCAGATTTGTGATTCTAGAAGTTGTTTGACCTGATTTACTATTGCTTGACATTAGATTATTTAAAGTTTAAAATAATTACAAATAATGCTGGTAAAAATATTCTTGTAGCCATCGTTTAATATCTGCAGTGGCACATATGGTTTTAGTATGTTTAGAGTAGCTGTGTCACAACATGCATGTGTTTATGTATGTTTAGCACTGACACTACGAAATAGTTACCCAATTTCACCAATTTTCACACTAACAGCAAGTAAAAATCTCCAGTGACTCATTATTTCCAGCCCTAAGCATACATCCAAAATAACCGAAGCAAGACCCTGAGTATCTGTATATACCTGTACATTCATAGAATCACCATTCACAGTAGCCAATAGGTGGAAGCATCTCAAATGTCTATCAACAGATGAATGAAAACACAAAAATGGATATATATATATATATAATATATATATAGTGAAATACTGTTCGGCAGTGAAAAATGATGTACTAAGCCCCATCAATACGAATGAACCTCCAAAACTAAGTAAAAAAAGCCAAACATGTCATATTATAAAACACCAAACATAATGAGATACCCAGAATGGATGCTTCAGAATGCTGAACTGATCTGCCACCTCTTTCCTAGCTTCCATTTAGGACTAGTAACGTGTGTGTGCACGCACGCACATGTGTGCCCCATACCTGGCACTTAAAAATACTTGATGAATAGTAATTCAATGTCCCTGACTTTTACAATGTCCTTGTCAATACAATGCTACTTTTGAATCTATCCTTATTACTGCTAGTGAGTGTTAACTACATGGTAAAAACGGAAGTCTTAGGAAAAATACATATCAGAGAGGTGGAAAAGGACGTGATAGATACATAAGCTATAGAGTGAGAAATGACATGTGAAAATTGACTTTATTTAGGAAAATGAAGTGGGAAAGGTGATTTTTTTTCATTAGCATAAATTAGACTAGAAGGGATGCTGTTTAGGCAGGTGTTGAGCTATGGACTGATTCTTTGAACTACTTCTATAGGTGTAGGTTGAGATAGGTGTAGTTTGTATGCATTTGTGCATCTAAGAGGCATCTAATGTTGAGTTAAGCCAAATTCAGCCCCCCCCCCACAGAATTTGATTATAATTATGGAGTTATTTGGAGGGATAATGGAGAAGGGTAGAAAGAATGATAGAAGGTGAGAAATAATGAAATACCTTGCATCTGTGTATGAAGATGACGTAAGGACTCTCACAACAATAAGAGAAAAGAGAGTTTGAGAGAGAGAACTAGATTCTCAGCACAAAGCACTTGAGAGATGCACATAGGTATAGTTGATTTCACTCGGAGATATACAGATTGAGGAGAGAACCCAAGAATAGACATAGGTAGGCAGAGGTGATTACGTATTATGAATGAAGAAGTGATAGAGATTTTAAATCATGACAACCGATGAAAAATTTAAGAACACACAAGCTACTAGAAATTGAAGTGTTTACTTAAGGAATAATTTTAATTTTCAAGGACATTGTGGTAAAAACTGAAGAGGGTAGATGGAAAGTAGAAAGGGACATGCATTCAAGGACAAGAAAGAGGGAGAGAGTCTGAGGGCAGCTCTGGCAGCTGCTTCAGTATATTAAATAATCCATAAAATTAATAGTCCATGACTATTCTAAGCAGATAAATCACTTTGAATTATGACTGACCTGTACAATTTGTTCCTAATTTTTCATGCATTCCTTGTAAATTTTTTTTGTAGTTAAAAAGTGCCCAAGGTGTTTCTAGAAGAACAATACCATTAATAACTAGGCAAACACTGGTACCCACTATACTGGTTTTCATAAGATGAAATGATATTGGGCAAATAAAGTTGATAATATGGGATTGCCAGCTTAATTTATTAAAACAAAACAAACATATCAATCCAAAAAAAGGAAAATGCAACAGTGGACAACCATTGTGTGATAGAGTATCCATGCTATTCAGAGACACGGGTTCTGATCCTGCTACACTTTGAATTCACTCTTTATAGTGACTAGTAGGTCAATTCCTATATAAGTTATTGAAGAGGGTTTCAGCTGAGGCAAGTTATCTGTCAGAAGTAAAAAAGACCAAGTAAAGTATAATTTATGAGCCCAGAGCTAATGTTAGAACTTGGTAGAACTTTGCCAACCCAAGGCATCCATGCATTTGCTCATTTCCATCCTGTCTTCTCCCTACTTGCGGGGAATCAGGTTGCATTTTGGTGAAGCTGTTTAGCTCAATGCGGTCTCTCTTACAACGCAGGACCACAACTCAGATGAGAATCATCTCCTGCTCCACAGAATGAGTCAAGACAGCCAGGAAGGAGGCACCCATCTGCCACTGTGACTCACCACGGATGAGACCGAGCTGGAGACCCGCGGAGGGAGCCATCGCACCTCCCTATTTGCGGACCCAACGTTAGCCAACGCTGGTTAAACCACGGATTCCACAAGTCAAATTAGGCCTTCGTCTTGCAAAGCTACCCAGAAGTCATATGGAGGTCATTGGTCTATTCTTCCCAGCTATGTTTGCACAGTTTCACACAATGTTTATGTTGGCATCAAGAAGGCCCTAAGGACTGTAGTGGGGTAACGTGAGGAAGGGCCAAAATAATGGCCGAATATCCAGGAAAGGAATGTTTACCATTATCACAAATTATTTTCAAAGAAAGTTATCCACATTGCTTTATTATTATTTTTTAACTTACTGGGGGTTACTCTTTTGTAAGCGTCTGTAACCTGATGCCCTTGCTGTGGTACAAAAAGAAATTCAAAAAGAAATTCAAGTAAAACCATTATTAGTAATTCTTAACTTTTGATAGTACCATGCTAAACTTTATTTTTTATTTTTATTTTTGTGATGGTCCTGGGGCTTGAATTCAGAGCCTGGGTGCTGTCCCTGAGCTTTTTTTTACTCAAGGATATCACTTTGCCTCTTGAGCCACAGCTCTACTTTCAGCTTTTTTTTTTTTTTTTGGTGTTGATTGGAGATAAAAGCCTCATGGATTTTTCTTCCCAGGATTGCCTGGAACTATGATTCTCAGATCTCAGCCTCCTGAGTAGCCTACGGTTTACAGGCATGAGCCACGCATCTGGCTGTAATACAAACATCTTTTCCAGCACAAGTACAAATTGATGGTTACTGAGGTATTTTGTTTAGGTTTTAAATTAATCTGCTTTAAATGTTAGGGAAAGGGAGATTGCAATTGTTAGGAAAATGGAGGAGAATGGAAAAGGAATAGGCTGGACTCAAGAGGGTTGGATCGTTTATTGCCAGTGAGAGGCACAGACCTTCCCAGGGGTTTGGAGGGTGTACAAGGGACTGGATTTGGGGGTATTAACGAGGAAATAAAGAAGTAAAAAGCAGGCTGTAAAAATCGAGGGGTTAGGGATGGGTACTTTCAGTTAGGTCCAGAATAAAATGTCCCACCAGGGGTGATGGGAACTTTCGCCCAGGCCTCGGTTGGAATAACCTGCCTGCGGACAGGCATGTGGTCAAGCCTGTTCGTGCACATCTGCTGTCTTGCTTGACCAGGGGAATAAGGTGGAAGTCAATCCATCA